AAAAGAAGGTGTGCTTCAGTGGTACAGGAGTAATGGAAAATTATTATTTTTAGATTACTATACTACAAAATTGGTAGTATACAGGTGATGTCATTTGATTAAAGGGGAAGTTAAGGTAAAAATTAAAATTTCACCAGTTGTAGTCTTCGGGGTGCTGAGTCGAATGGTCTTGGTCCGAGAAAGCTGAGACGCTCCCTTCCTACTTGAATCCCAATCGAACTCGCGCACTTCCACCGAAACTGGGTGACTGCGCCCTACTAGATGGGGATTTGTATGCAAAATGTCACTGAAAGCGTCATTTCGTTCTTATAAAAGCACGGATGACCGCGATTGGCCCATATGTTGTACTCTTTTGGACGCTGAGTCGACTGGTTTTGGTCCGAAAAGGCTGCGATGCAGCGTTCCTCCTTTATTCCCAATCGAACATTGTTGAACAAGCGGTCACGTGCTCCTGGGTGCCCAAATCACCTGGTCACCATGCCAGCAGGCGACAACTTTCACACCAAGGTTCAACTCGAGTTCAACTCGAGTGACAGGACTGCATCCAAAAAAGGTCAAACAGGCTAGTAAGGTGTACCCGGCAGGCACGGTGACCGGGTAACTGGTGTACGCAGGAGCACGTGACCGCTTGTTCAACCATGTTCGATTGGGAATAAAGGAGGAACGCTGCATCGCAGCCTTTTCGGACCAAAACCAATCGACTCAGCGTCCAAGAGACTACAACATATGGGCCAATCGCGGTCATCCATGCTTTTATAAGAACGAAATGGCACTTTTAGTGACATTTTGCATACAAATCCCCATCTACAGTCCATTTCAAAACTATACGCGTACCTAGGCAAAAACCGTTATGCCAGCATCTATACCACATAAAATCTGTGATCACTTTGTGCATACATTTTTCCAAATTGGGCGTCTGTTATCCAATCGTTTAGAAACTATATGAGAGTAATTGTGGAGCGGTCCTGAGCAATATTCCGAAAACTATTCTCAAAAAGTTCTAGCCAAATTTGAAATATTTCAAAAACCCTACGCGTCTATAGTTTTGAAATGGACTTTAGAACGAGGTCTGTCTCGTTGTCCAGGAAACGACCAATCAGCGACATTCCCGCCAAGGGCCTTATCAGAGTTTAAAGCCCGCTCAATCGTTATTTTACTACTCTTGATGACGCGTCGAGGGCCTTGGATTAGTTTAAAGCCCGCTGAATATACTCTAAACTGGTGCGTACAACTCCCTGTATGCATTATAGTACGGTGCAGGTAATGAACTCTGCATAAAATGTACGGTGTACCACTAAAAGCTACGCATTTCAGAAGTGTGTACGGTTTTTGCCTCCCGTATTCTTTCATCTGTACGAATTTCCTTTGTCAACAGCTTGTGGAAACCTATAAAAACCGAAGATCAAAGTCATTAGAGGTATCGACAAGGGGCCCTCAAAGCCCCTAAATAGCTCCACAAGCTATGAATAAGAATGAAGCTCGCAATAAGAGCCCAGCATTTCATTTGCTGATTTTCTACTTTTAGTAGTCCTAAGTGGTGCTGAGTTACCATAACTAAACAGAAGAAAATATTCTTTCATACCACACCAAGTCTCTCTGCACACAAACAACAAAACTACCCAATATAATGGTACACAAGCATAATGGAAGTGAGATAATGCATGTAACCTCGTTCTAAAATAGTTAGTGTATGGCAGGAAGGGTCTTATGGCTTGTTTGTGCCCTTCAGGGTAGCTCTCGGGCCTACGGCCCTCAGGCTAACCTGTCGGGCACTAACAAGCCATAAGGCCCTCCCTGCCATGCACTAACCTATAAGTAGTAGGGCGCAGTCACCCAGTTTCGGTGGAAGTGCGCGAGTTCGATTGGGATTAAAGTTGGAAGGGAGCGTCTCAGCTTCCTCGGACCACGACCATTCGACTCAGCACCCCGAAGACTACAACTGGTGAAATTTTGATTTTTGCCTTAACTTCCCCTTTAAGATTGACATAATTATTGCTTATTAGCCCGGCCGAGGGAATAGAAAGGGGAGAAAGTCTGAAGAAATTATCAGCTGTCGCCACCAGGACACAAACCAGGGACCTTCAAGACCAATGCTCAAACTACTATGGTATAGACATCGGCAAAGCAACTTTAGCACATGGCACATGGCACATGGCATGATCTTTTTAAAACTGCACAATCATATTTACGAAGGTTGCTTAGTGGTGGTGGAAGTTCTCACTGCGATAGGAGGTCAGACTCGTCATTCTCTGCAATCATGTAAGTGTCGCATGAGATCATTCTGCACAATCATGAATGTACTTCTGACAGCCCACCCTCACTAGCATTCTTGGATCATGGTCTGTCATTGCTGCATTGCATGTGTTCAGTTTCAGTGAAGTTTTTCGACAGTAAAACCTGGTAAGCAAGTACTGGTTTGTTTACAATCATTGTGTAAACTAACGTTACTCAGCGTTATTTGCATTAATACTAAGACCTGGTTTAGGCGACCGCCTCACGGTGCAAGCAAAATTGGTCGTTGAAGTCAGGTGGTCTTTAGAACCAGGTCCCTTACATTCACGGCATATCGGATTGTGTACGTACTATCAGGTCCGGCCTCATTTCCTCTGTGCTGCGCTGATGAGTCCACAAAGGACGAAACAGTTCTGTCAGCACATTGAGTACATGTCATGTACGTGTATTTCCATGTACTCCGGCCATACTGAAACTTGGTGTCAAGCATAGAACACTTCCGTGCAGGCAAAGCACCCAAGAGAAAAAAAATGCCAGACCCATCAGGACTCGAACCCAGGACCTCAAGGGAACTGGAACCCAAGTGCCATCAGGAGTATGTGTGGCACGTGTTGTGAGCTGCCTTTGGAGTGAAACTTGTCAGCGCCTTCTACGTTCGGCCTGGTCTCATAGCTCAGACGGTTAGAGCATTGCCCATGACAAGCAAGGTCCCGGGTTCGAGTCCTGGCGGGTCTGGCATTTTTTTTCTTTTCAGGCAGTTCACGTCCCCGACTGATCCTTTGAATTTAAAATTCCCTCAATCCTTTCAAAATTAATCATGACATGACAACAATGACAACATTGTTGTGTTTTGTGTGTGTGTGTGTGTGTGTGTGTGTCACTCTGTGTGTGTGTGTGTGTGTGTGTGTACGTGTGCACGTGTGTGTGTGTGTCACTTTGTGTGTGTATGTGTATGTTTGTGCATGTGAATGTGAATGTATGTACAAATGCGTGTTTGCTTGGGCCGCAATTGCAGCAGCACGCAGCTGCAGCGCTTCGACTGCAGTGTCTTCAAGCTAGCCACAACACATGAGCGCTTTCGCACCACTCTGATGCCAATACTACCAGGCTATCCACTAATAATGACACCATGGGCTGGTATTATACATTCCTGGCTGGAGTACAATCTTGAAGAATTTCGAGAGGACGATGGTGTGGGAGGGATGACGTACAAGCAGTTATATAATGAGACGTGTACAATCATTGAGGTGAGGCCAAGGAAATCTGATGAAAGCTCCCTTCATTACCATGTCATATTTCCACAGATAAGTTGTGTGTGTGTGTGTGTGTGTGTTTAGTTTGCCAGGGTCTGTCTGAGACTATTCAGAGTATTCTGTATGATCACTTCATTGTTGCTACAGTTTCAGCCGTTGCCACACAGTTTATCAGCTTTCACCAAACATTTCATTGACTCGTGTAGTAATTCACTCATTTTTGGTGGACTAACAGAGAAAACACGCTGATTCTGAGTTTGCAATAAAATGGTTTCAGGTCCCCATATCTGTTTCTGGTGATAATGAGGTTCTAATCGTGATCAGAAATCCGTGGCAAAATAGCATGATTTCCAGCCTTTGGACCAACATGTCACAGTAGTAGAAACCATGTGGACCCTTTTTTACTTCAGAGGTATTTCATAGAACACCTTCCAAAGACAACATCTACACGTCCACATAATTTGAAGAGAATACTCCTCGCACCGGGGATTGCCATGTTTGGTCGACTTGTTTCCCGTACAGGATCTGGTCATTGACTCGGAAAATGCAATCGGTGATCTGACCTTGTACCCTGCCCCGGGCGAGCAGTTCGACCTGTCATTTGACGTTGTGGACGAACTCATGTCGGGTGTAGGTGCCACTCTGGGCGTCAAGGTAGGTTTGGTGTGATCATTGAACGTTCTCAGAGTTTCTTGCAAACGCCTGCATTAATTTTGGTGACAATTTCTTTACCTGCAAACACCTGCATTTCGTGACTCTTTGTTTTCATGCAAACATCTGCATTTAGTGACCATTTCTTCCCAGGCAAGACAATTCTGTTTAGAAAGTGCACTGGATTCAGAGACCGCCCGTTGTGTGCGGCTTTGCGCTCCCAGCACTGACATATTTCTGACATGCACACGCAAACCAAAGCCCCAAGCAGTGACATAGAATGCAGAGCTATTCTACTACTTCAGCACCCAATAGAAATTCTGGTCAGAGTTTGTTTGAATTTTTCGAAAAAGGAGGCTATCCAAGGGTCAAACAATAACTTAATCTATTTTTTACCCTAGGTAATATTTATGTCCACACAAGATTCTTGAAAAGTATGATAAGAAAGCACATAGTATCCTCCACCAAAGGATATTAATCCAGTTAATTAGCTTGTCTTCGGTGATCACTGGAAAGAGAGGCAAGCTGTCTTCTCTACTGACCATAATTATGTTGTTTTAGCCACAACATTGTCTGTCTAGGGAAGGATTTTAGTCTGAGAATTTGGCCGCAGGGTGCATGTCGGAATCCGAACTGAACCCATAATTCAGCAATGCGCATGCCCTTTTTGCAAGGGTATAGCCACATAGCTTGGTGCCTTTCTATCTTTACATTGGTCCAAAGAAGAGCGCACTTGAGTCAAGGTGTTATGTGTTGTACATGTGTTCCTTGCTGTCCACTAGGTGGAAGCAGACAAGAACGATGTGATCATGCGCCAGGATGACCGGGATTACATGCCCGGAGAGAGTCTCTACTACTCCTCCAGCGGCAATCTAACTGCAGTCTCGCTGTCAGGAGTGCCTGGTAGCACTGGGAAGCTGCTGATTCATGTGGTTGGCCGTGGTGCAGTTCGCCACACCAACTTTGACAGAAACTTCATCGAGCTTTGGATTCCGTTCAGGCTGCGTGGCTGCCTGCCAGGATTCCAAGACCCGAGCATTGGCAGTTCGAAGGAGGCCGTAAGTACGCCTGGTGAGATTGACCATCCCATTGAATTTGAATTTGCCTAGCTTTTTGTTGGGTAAGGTAAAAATCTACACTGAACTTGACAGCATTTATCTCCCCGGGCCTAGGTTGAATGTGGAATCCCCAGGTTGTCAAAGTGGTGTCCATGTGTGTCTGCTGAGTGGTCCAACCCCCGCAACAAAACAACTCTCTGACTCATTAGTGTAATTACTGGTGTTCCTCTTACAACTTAATGCAATGTGGTTGGCGAGAGAGCTGGGGAAAAGACAATGAAATCATAAATGACTAACAGGATAAAGGGCGAACAGACCGGGCCGAAACGACCAATAAGCCACCAGTACGTATGACACACGTGACAAAAATCACAAAATCCAAGACAACGACACCGTGGACGAATCACATCTCTCTCTCATACCCAAGCCTTACCCTCACAGCGCCTGCTCCACATAACCTACGCATGCGCGACAGCTAGTAGACAGGCACACTCAGACAGACAGAAACAGAATGATCCCACGCTCTCACATGTGCCATGCATACCATATTCGTCACACATCACACCTCGCACACCTATATACACCACAGTGACCACACCCATATCTGGCACACATCACACCATACCCATATGCACATAAGACCATAATTATAGGACACCGGACCGGACAAACGGCAACACCAGAGACAGCAGTGGGGGAAAATACCACAAGAGCATCAAATTTCGCAACACATTGACCTGATTATGGTGAAATGCCGAAACGTTGCTGAAATTGATATGAAAACGGTGTTCAGTGTTTTCGCGGTAGAGTGATGGGAACGAGCTTGTCAGCTCAAATGCCTTTCTTTTATTGAATTTGAACTTTCCCCGAATACTGCAATGTTTTGCATTTCTTCGCCATTCTCTGGAATTCAACCCTCGGCTGATGGGATGACATTGCTGCCTGTTCACTTGATGAAGTAAAATTCAGAGTACCATACCTCTTTGCTCTTCCAAGTGTCAAGTGTAAAATTGTCAGGAAAGCCGCGGTAAGCTCGAACTTTCCGATGAACCTATTTTCTTATTAGTATCGCCAAGGTTTCTTCCACTATCTCTTACTCTCGAACCGTGATACTATACTGTGAGCAATTCTATTTTATCAAATCTCCAAAAGTATTAAAAGTACAAGAACAAAAAGAAACGGTGGTCAGAGTGACCGAAATGTTGAGTAAGAACTGTCTGACTGTGTGAAGCGGCAGTGCATCCGAGTGTTGGCCAGTGTTGCCATAATACGAGTTGATCAAAATGCAGCTGCGTGAAGTGTCGTTTCGAATTTACCAAAAAGAGTCAGCAGTACTACCTTACATGCTTAGCAGCAGGAATGATAATTCCCTCTCAAAACCTCACGTTTGCAACAGCAAAACTACAGTGCAGGGTCGGCTGCGGACAGCCACATTGCATTGGTGTGCAGTGTGCTCACTTTTTTTTTAATTCACTTTGCTCTATCCACTGTCCACTGTAGGCAGAGTATATAACAGAGCTGTCTGAACAGCATGATAGCAGTGCCTTCACCAGTGATGAGGAGTCGCCACTGGTCTGCCGCTGTCCAACAAATTATGGCATTCAGAAGTGCCGGCATGGACATGAAATCATGGTGCGAACCGGATTCTGGGCGGGAAACTTCAGTTTCTACCAGCGTCGGGATCTGGACAACACGTGTGTGTTTGACAAGACTGCCTTCTTCAGAAACGACACTGCCTTGGACAGTGACGGCTGCAACGTACGAGGAGTGCACCGGTTTGCGATTGGGTTTTGCGACAACGGGCTTTGTTACAGACCGCCGGGGGCTGCAGCAAGCTGGTCCTTGTCCAGTGACAACCCATGCAACCCCAAGTTCAATCGCACCGGTCCGATGTGCGGCTCGTGTATACCAGAGCACAGCATTCTGATAAGCTCAGTTGTAAGTAATTATAATTATGACAAGAGACTCAAAGGGAGAGAGAATTAGTTCAACTTTCCACAACAGTTATAATACGTGGTCAGAGTGGTGTTGTGCTGCCCTTCCCTGCAGATGCTCTCTAGATATTAGCCTGTGCTAACGAGATAAATATAGTCAATATACCACATTGTACGTTTATTGGCACGTGGTTTTTTTCTTTTTCTTTTTTCCGAAGATCGGCCACTCCAAATGTGGAGCTCATGTCCCCTGCCGGATTGACTGACACTCGGCTGACTCATACCTTGCCCTCTGGGCCTCAGGACACACAAGGAGCATGTTGGCAAACCTCTCGAAAAAATTATTCCTTCTTAGTACGAACCGGAGAAGGCAGAATTGCCTGGGCTCTAAACAAACTCGAATAAGAGAAACGAACTAGGGCTACAACGGGTAGGGGTTTGGTCGGATAACGGATTCGGGCATTTCTATCCGGGTAGCACGGGTACCCAATCCCCGACATCATCATTATTCATTTTTCTCATATCTTTCTCATACATATTCATATCGCAGATTTCTCGTTTTGGTAGGAATCGGAGAATCCTTTCTTCGGTGAGAAGGCAGTATTGCCTGTGCCCTGAGCGAATTGAAATAAAAGAATACAACATACAACAACAATCAGGTATTTTTGACATAATTTATACAGTGAGTGTGCACTTGTTTTTTAGAACACGGTGGCTCCACTGCACTCTGCAGCCAATTCATATCACGCTTAGTCACCACCACCACCACATCAAGGTCGTTGACGCTGCAAATTCTATTGAAAAGAAAGGAAATCTCGTGTGCACTTGCTCTACATAGAAAGTGTACAGTAAGCACGTAGGCGTGCTTTTTACATGCACCGTTGGTAAAACACCGTACTCCAACTACTCGATCGGGCTCTCAGGAGCAAACTGCTACCCGCAATACCCGCTCTAATTACGGGCAGCACGCGGTTACCCTACTACCCGATAAAAAAAAAACAAAGAAACGAAACTGCAATAAAGTGCCACTCCCTTCTCTATACCTGTATAATGTGTTTGGGTGAGTTCACCTCTTGACACTTGTTACTTGAGAGGTAGTGAATAAAAAAACGTGTGCTCCAGAAGGGCAAATATTGCTAGAAATGCACATTTGCACTCGGTTTCCTGTGCTGCAACTGCGACGCATCAGGTCTCTAGGTTAGATTGTGACTCAGTGTCGCCCTTGGAATTGTGATAGCCATAGGCGGGGACTGTTGACCATTGGCAATGCTGCCGCCACCAATATCTAATTGCATGTGTGATGCACACCGGCAAGGGAGGCCATGAGTGGATTCTTTGGCTGCTCCGTGCCGGGATACCGTGGGCGGCCGCGGATCACGCTACCAGTCCTGCTGAATCAAGACGCGGAGCGAGTCGGCTGCCGTCTGAGGACTCCAGGGGACTTGCAGCTGATGGCTCAGCGAGCACTGGATCGCCGTGAATGGACATATCTGTGCAACGCAGTTACAGATGCGTACAAGGCAGAGTACTGGTGAAGGAAGTTGGCACTGCAATGGTTTGAGCTACATTCTTTGTTGTTGGTACTCTGATTATCCGTATTATCCGTATTCACATGGCCTTTGCCATTCATTCAGTATATTAATGTCATCAATAATGATATTCTTGTTTGTATTAGTTTATGTGACACCATTTTCTATTTTTCTTTGCCTGCCTGCCTGCTGGTGGCCTTTTTTCGCATGGTTCGGTGCAAGCGAATTTGGGCGAGCCCATTGACGCGGGAGCACAAATAATAATAATAATGTGTGATCCAAGCGTCTTATTCAGCGCATCACCAGCACAATGGTCAAAACAGCACTGTATGGAGGAAATAGTATTTTGTCAGTATATACAACTTGGAGTTGTGTTGCTTGTTTGATGGTCGGCCAGAGAGCGCATGTGGAGGTGGAGGCGGAATTGCTTTATCACCACTACTGATACATGAATTGGGATGTCCTCACCTTGCATATGACGTACGGTACAACTTCAGTATGACTAACCCCCAAGGCCATGAACACCTCTACTCTAGAAGTTAACCAAGCTACATGATACTGTATATCCAAGGTCAAATAACTGCCAAAGTATCCTGCAAGGTTATCAAAAGTATCCATGTACTTTGGAGCGCAAAATGTGTTGAATCCAGCATGCTTTATACTGAGATGTCTCATTGAACTTTGTGTGACCTCGTGTGCAGGCCTGTCACGACTGCCGGAATGAGCTCAAGATCCCCATCGCTGTCTACTTCCTGCTGGTGTTCACATGTTCAGCTGTCCTGTACGCCGTTGTACTTTGCCTGAACATTGGAGTGTCCTGTACTTTGAACAGCTGGCTCTTCTTCATTCAGGTACGAACCTGCGGACTGGGGTATGGCAAAACCGAGCAGTTTTGTGTGTCATCAGCAGACCTACGAGCAGATGTAGATGAATATGGTCATGAAGGTTTAACCTCTCCCATCACAAATACATTTAAAAAGTGTATTTGTGTGTGAGAGAGAGAGAGGGAGAGAGAGAGAGAGAGAGAGAGAGAGAGAGAGAGAGAAGGAGGGAGGGAGGGAGGGAGGGAGAGAGGGAGGGAGGGAGGGAGGGAGGGAGGGAGGGAGGGAGGGAGAGAGAGAGGAGAGAATACATGTACTGTAGACTCCCTTTAATTCGAACCTCAAATTGCCAGGCCCTAACTTCGAATTATCCCGAACTTCGAATTATCCAAATGCAGCCCCATGCACTGTCAAAATGCTTGAAATCGCATGCTGAATATTTTTTGCACCTTTTATTTGCATCAACGAAACATAGGTACACACTAGGTGGTCATGTACAACGGATCATCAAAACACTGGATCGACAAAAAATCATTTGACATTATCTTCATCTTCTAGTGAAGAAGTTGTCAGTCACTGCAGCTTTCCTGAAACAATTAATTCAACGGAAAAGAACTGCACTGCGTAATCCGCGTCATGAAAGGCCGTCGGACACCAGCACGCCGTTCTGAAGAACGGAAGTGGAGCATAGGCATAGACAATATTTACAACAATAGTGTTGTTGTGCGCCAACATCTCCGCGCACGAGCTGGCGCGGCAAGAAAGGCCATCGAGATCCGCGAAGAGAGTCAGCCACCAGGAAGAAGTTGTCTTCAATCAAACCTTTGCAATTTGCCTCGCACGGGCTTGAATCAAACTTTGAGAGAAGGTGGGTTTCTTGAACATAGTCGATCCTGCAGCCGACCATCGATCGATTTTTGAACTACTCTTGGCTAGAGAAAGAGAAAAGAATGAACTTCGAATTACAAGGATAGCAACTCAATCTCACTTCGAAATAAGCGTTCAAAGGACATAGCCAATGAATGTACTGTAAACAGCTCTTCTGTACGAAGACTGGGTTCGAATTATCCAACCGGCGCACTTTTCGTACTTCGAATTATGCGTTTGATTTTGACTTGAATTGGAGTGACTTGCAGAAGATCGGTACGACGAAAAAGTTCGAATTACACGGAATGTTCGAATTATACCGTTTTCGAATTAGAGGGAGTCTACCTGTAGTTGTAAATGACTTCCTTACCGGAGGTCCGTTGTTGCTCTGTTTGAAGATGGACTTCTTCGTGTTTTGCCCTCCCCAGGCCATCTTCATCATATTCTCTGATAGTGTGAGCATGCAGGCTATCTTCTACACCACATTGACATTTGGCCTGGGTCACATATGTGTACGTGAGCAGCTGACACCACTGCAGGCCAGAGCTGCCCTGGTCCTGCAGCCCTTTTTCATCTTCTTCTTCAGCTTTCTGCTCTGGCTTGCCGTGCGCCACGGTGTCTGTGCCAACCGTTTGCAGCACCTGCAGAAGCGCCACTCTTTGGCACACGTTATCTGGCTGAGCGTAATCTACTGGACGGCGTCTCTCGGATTCATTGCTACCACGCTGCTGAACAGTGTGCGACTGGAGATGATTGAGAAGGACACGCTTCACGTTCTCTTCATCGATGGCTCTGTGGAGGTGTTCGGCAAGGAGCACCTGTGGTTCGGCATCATGGCTATCACCATCCTGGTGCTTCTGGTTACTCCGCCGACGCTAATCATGGCCATCCCGTATCTGCGCAGCCTGCAGCAGTTTAAATGGTACGCAGACCACGCGATGAAGGTGTACGAGCCTGACCGCCATTGGTGGGCCGCCGTGGACCTGGGCCGCCGACTGTTGCTTGCCTGCCTGGAGGCTAGTGTGGATCACACCTGGATCAGACACTATCTGATGGCCATGATCTGTGTACTGTTCCTGGCTACGCATCTAGCATACCGGTAAGCAATAGTGCAAAACTCCCCAGATCAGGACGTACCTAATCCGGGCACGTCCATCTACCATGCACCTGTATGACCAAGAGTACATAACCCCCAGAGTGTGCAACGCCGATCCAGCTCTGCATAGGGTTTTGGTCGAGCGGAATCGGATCTTCTGATGTCATGCGTACACTCCACACCATCGCAAGCCCGGTCACGAGGCAGGGCACCGTTGTTTTTGATCCGAGTGTACCCGCGACTCCCCGGGTTCCCCTCAGATGTGTACGGTATTATGACGCAAAGATCCGATTACGTTCGACCAAGACCCTATGCAGAGCTGGATCAGGCGTTGCACACTCTGGGGGGTTATGTACTCTTGGTATGACCTATCTAGAGTCATAAATTGACTTTTCAATGAAAAACGGCGCCAAAACAGTCATATATTCATGGACATAGTAATCTTTACTTGCATACAGCAGTGCAGTAGGTATGTAAGTTCTGAGTTGTGGGCAATTCTTAGTTACGGGCAGTGCTCGGTCCCAACCAGCCCGGATCTGGGGAGGTTTCCTGCACTCTTGCCCATCTGCAGCTCTGCAGTTGCCAGTGCATTGACTTGTACAGTCATATTGGTCTTGCTTGAACCCCACCGTCTTCAAGTCAGTTGGGGTGGTGAGGAGGGGGGGGGGGGGGCAGAGTTGGTTTTGTGTTCGTCAAGGGTACGCAGCCCCGGGAATGTGCAACTCCGTTGGGCATTTCACGGTTTTCATCAGAATTCCTGGTCGACATCATCTGGCTAATCTGACCTATCTGAGAACTGCATGTTCGCAACCTCGCAAAAGGTATTCCTGGTAACTCGATAAAAGGTGCCCAACCCACAGGTAAAGAGCAGCACACGTCACCGTTATAACAATGTCTACGATTTCCATGCAGGACTTGACCCTGTGGCGTATCATGCTCTGCTGGAATTGCGGATGTCCTGCATGTACATTTGAACTCGGAGGGTGAACTAATTGTATTCATAGATACTGTAAAACATAACCTTCCAATTAGTTGGATGATTGTTGGTTTGCGCTCAGTAGATATCTTGGAGCGAGGTGTCAGACCGTTGAATGTCTCAGTACCCCTGACAGTTTTGTGTCCAGTTGTCATACTCACTCACTGACTACATGTGTATAGTGTTGTCCTTCCATTTATCCAAGTACATGTATATCGTTACATTGGATTAATTAAATATTTTGCTGTCTTGGTCGTCTCTCTGTTCTAGGCCACTGAAACGAAACAAGGGACTGGGGCCGTTCAAGGACATTGATAATCGCATTGAAACAATGCTTCTGTTCGATCTCTGTGTGCTTTCGGTCGCGAAGACCGCCAGCAGCTGCTCCAATTTACCGTTCATGCCCTCACTGCGTGTGGTAAAAGCCATCAACATCACCCTCTATGCTGTTCCAACTCTGATCTGCTTTGCCGTGGCGATGGTAAGGTTTGTGCAGAGTATGCAGTTGACCTTCCGAAAACATCAGCCAATGAAAAGGTGAGAGGGACGTGGTAGAATGTTTCACTGCTGTAGTTAAAGCCTGAAGATGGTGTTGAATGGTCTCTAATGGGATGAGAGCTACACCATAGCTCCGAGCAGTAGTTAGAGCATCGCTGGCCTCAAGCAAAGGTCCCCCAAATCATTAAATTCTACGCAGGAGTGCAGTCAGACATAATGATCGTCTTAAACCATGACTGAACAAATTCTAAACAGGGAACCAGTTTACGTTCTGCCTGGATGTGGGCAGATTCTATTGCCTGTGTCGTGAAACACAGTGAAATAGGAAGCCGGCTGACCACTGCCATGTCAGGAGCTGCGAACATGCATTCATCTCTGCGTATTGTGATGATTCGACGGATGTGTAAAGGTCTGTCCAACTGACTCTCGTGTAAGACATGCTTTTATTGACGTCATGGCTGTTGAACCATGTGGTCTAGCTCCTAACTTGTGATGAAGGTTTTGATGAGTATTGCTAGGCGTATTCTCATCTGACATCAGGCAAAGTGACCAAATGGATCATTTCTGTAGACATGGATGCCTCTAATTTGATATCACCTTTGGAGAGCGTCTGATTTACAGAATAGCTAGCAGCTTTGCCAAAGTGCTCCCATCATACCCGTCAGGCACTGCATCTGCCGCTGGATTTACTGGGCGTTACCGGCCGTCATGAGTTCCCGGGAATAGACACGATAATTTACTCTTTTTTTTACTGTGATCCAATCTCATGTTCGGTGGCTCTTGTTCCATTTCTTCCACAGGTATACCGTGGATGAGAATGATGCTGCCATGGAGGATCATGCTACGGCCCTGAAGGCCATGGGTAGCCACACTTGCTCCTCAGCACGCATCGGTCCAGGCAACAGCAACAGCAACAGCAGCAGCAATTTCAGTACCAGTACCGCTGCAACCAGCAGCAGCATCATCAGTGGCGGCAGCAGCATTGGTAGCAGTAACACTCCTGCTACACCAAACACACCAAACACACCAGCTGGCGACAGTGGCGGGGCACATCCGCACGCGCGAAGCAATCAAGGAGCCAGGCCAAAGTGGCTTGTAAGAGCATGTCTGAATATAGTGTACATGTATGGCCAATAACATCCCTTATGTTGCCTGATGATAATGTAAGCATGAAATTCAGAGTAGCGACTAACTAGCCATGCCCCTATTGTTCTGTGTATAGCGAACACGTAGAATGTCGTACGAAGTCAATTTCTTTTCTCAAATCTGACATTCAACTTACACATAGTTGTATTGATTTAGATTTGTGCCGAACTGTTTATTGAATACAATGATGCACTGTAGTGGATAACATGCGCCCATGCACACAGCGCCATCTATCATGATCATGATCATGATCACTTTCACCACAGCCGCAGAACATGCGTCAGCACAACGGCACTCCATCTGTGACAACCCAAACATCTGGACTACATGTGCATCCCAGTGATGCAAATAAGTGGTGGGGTATCGCATAGTGCATGCAGCTGAGTTTTCATGTTCTCTGGCAATACATTTCAACAGTCGTTCTTCCACTTGACTTTCCTTTTCCTTTCTTGTTGTGTACAGCTTGATTTTGACTTGCCGGTGGCAAATGGTTTGCGAGACCCACTACTTATTGAGCACTTGATGCAAGAGGACGGAGAGGACAACTAGCAAGCACACGAACCCATTGAGAGAGAGAGAGAGAGAGAGAGCAGTGCTCTTGATGTAATGTTCCTTTGTCACAGCGTTACCCTCCTGACAATGCCGCCACGGTCATGCCCCACAGGCTGTCATCGCCTGAGCCAGATGTTGGCCACTGCCGTTGTTATTTGTCTCTCACCTTTCCTAGCTCTCTTCACCAGCAGGGTAGTGTTCAAGAAAGTGCAGCCTGCAAGTCATCGAGTGTTCAGTGACACACATTATGCGTGAAAGCATCCGGAAAGTCGTTGTGCACTCACATCACATTACTACACTACCAACCGCGCTGTTGATGCATTTGTATGTGTTTTGTTTTATTTTACATCGCAAATCAAACGGACAATGATGCCCAAGTGTTATGGTGAGGATGGAAAGGGAGACATCGTGTCCGCATAATATCAATAGGGTTCACTGCCCGTCTGCAGTGTGTTATTTCTGCTAGGATTTGCGAGCACATCATTAATCACCACGGCACGGGTTCTGACCGTCTGGCTACAGTATCTCTGCCTTAGTCCATTTCAACTCACTTTAAGGTACATGCCCCTCCTGCCGCTTCACCGGACCCTGCCATACCATTTCCTGTGCCACCATGATTTTGCTAGGGCTGCAGCTTTACTAGGGATGCAGTGAAGATTATTCAGATGTGCACATGTGCATGTAATTACCCGATCTACCTGTGCTCAGAGAGTATTCGAAAAGTTTTCAAAGTCTGATGTTGAAATTTCACCAGACCTAGTGAATGAACGTGCCACAACAGACTCCTATTTCCTAAGCCGGTCAAGGCTATAATGAAGCCTTGTTCAGTGCTGCTGTGGGAGAGTCATGCATGATGCCACTTGTGTCTGCAGTGTCTGAGCAAAGACAGGGTTGTGCCTTGGCATCTGGAAGAATAGGAACGGCTTAAGGAAACGCCAAATTGATTTGTCGAATTGAATCACTGGTTTATCACAACTAGAGCGACGATGGGAAATAGCGGATAATTCGTTCATTCGTTGAATTGGCATTAGAGTACTGCTTGAATTGTGTGTGTGGCCTTCGTTGGATTAGATTAAATTTTAATATTTGCAGTGTGTTGCATCACTTTCATATTCACCATTCACATTCTACACTACAGCGGCAAAGGATGAATAGACTGTCACTGTTTAGTTTTAAAAAAAGTTTAAAAAACTTCAGACCGCGTTATGACATAATTTGCCACACTCACCACAACATGACTGTACAGCGTACTACAACTAACTACTTATGACATGCCGTAATTGTAGTAAATCTACACAATGCACTGTCTCAAAAAAAAAAAAAAAAAAACTGGTATGGTGTTGCGTATACATTTACCATTTTCCACATATGCTTCTTTCTGTTCCCCACTCTCACACTCAAAAAACATTACTGCACTCAGGGAGTCGGTATTTGACGACTCCCTGACTGCACTGTGCAATAAGTTCGTGCTCCCGGGTGGCAGGACGCAACGAAAGTACCGAACATGCAGAAGACTGCACGTAGATCTACTGCCGTGTACTGGACGTACAAGACTTAGTTAGTATTGCTACACAGTGGTTGCAAACTTACTTGGTGAGAAAGTATCGTATTCGTAAGTAAAGTCGTTAGTTGGTTGTTCGCAACACTCAATCTCGCGCTCTTCTCGCCGACTTGACTTGACACTTGACTGACTCACGAGTGCCATCCAGAGCAAACGAGAGATTCATCGAACATTCGACTCGGCTTTCTTGCAGGTGGGAAAAGTGCGAGTTGGTGGGTCCGGGTAGACTCTCGAGCAACCAACTACTTTCTTACAAGTAATTAGTTACATGGTAGATCTACAGCTGTACTGTAGTAGATCTACATCAGGGAGTCATAGTAATTAGTATACGACTCCCTGATCTACACTGATATGACCTGTAGATGTGCTAGTACAGTGCTGGTACAGTGCTGGCAACTGAAATCCGACCGCCAGGGCGGCGCACCGCGCCGCCCTGGCGGTCGGATTTCAGTTGCCAGCACTGTACAATTATACTAGTACTAGTCTATACTCTATAGTAGATCTACTACTCAGTACTAGTGACTACGAATCCCTGGCCTGAGTGATGTAGACCTACTGGGTCTGTACTACTGCTAGAGCCAAGACTACAAGCAAGAGTACACAAACATGCCTTGACTCAGTGTTGTTCAGTCTTGGGAGAAGCATTGGATAGATCTCCCTTCCACTTTCCAGACACATGCATGCGTTTTCTCAGATTTATACTATTATTTTTCTAGGAAGACTGCAGCTATACAAATACAATGCAGTGTTACAAAATGTTTGCTTCATACTAGTAGATCGACCAGTGAAACTGAGTTGATGAGTGTCACCAATCATTTCCATTGCTAGCTCACCACTCAGATCAGCAAGCATTCGGAGCAATGTCAAAACAACGATAACTCGATCTTAGCCTAAAGATGAGGCCAGATTGAAGGAGGTCACCTAGGAACACTCCGTTGTCATACAGGAAGGATTACTAGCACGTCGACGACAAACTAACTACGCCGCACACGAGAGTTTGGTGGTCTGAAATTCCAGCCAACGGATCAAGTTGCCGTACTGTCGTCAGGAGCATCGCCTTTCCGCTGGGCAAGCGCAGGAGGATGACAGTCATGCCACCTACGATACCCCAGAAATTCAGGAGCTTCCTCTAAACAATCGAAGATGACCAGTCAAGATGCATGGTCGTCCTTCGCTTGACTGCCCAAATCGTGCAGACTTGTTTGCCAGCTGTGGACAAGGTGAACGGTAAGGTCAATTAGGTGGTGACTATCCAAGGTGTTCTTGTTGTAGTTATTTACCACTAGATAGTGTTGATTTAGCCATCAGTGCAGGTAGGATAACAGCTAAGGTTTCAACTGCTGTGTTCAAGATCAGTGTCAGCACTGATTATGACCTCAGAAGTAATGTTTGGAGAGTGACCGATGGTCTCATTAGTGCTACAGTACTGTGGGTCGCCGAAGAACTGGGGGGGGGGTCAGCCTCCTATCGATCCTAGTCCGTTCCTATTTTCATGTACTACAGTCGATGGGCAGTTGAGTCCTCGTGTATACATTGGTATGCTGTGCTTGATGAAATTCTAGCCTGGTCGTTCTTCGGCGCTACCCGACAGTACTGTAGTCTACTAGCAGACCAATAAGAGGCATAGCAGTTGCTTCAGCTGTTCTCAGTTTGTTTTGACCAGCCCCATTATTTTCTCATGTCTAACGTCTCTGAAGTGGCTTCAGTGGAGTCTGCATACCCTGACTGTAGAGTAGGGTCTACGCTGGCTGTCTAAACTGAATCCCGAGTGGTCATGGTGTAAGAACTCTTTGAGGTAACGTTGTCATTGGCAAAACTAATCACGGTACAATGGTAACCATGGTTGGGCCGAGGGATTGTTTCTGCCGGTATGGACTTGTGCCCTGGCGAACAGTCCGAGCTCTTCTCTTCGCTCTTGGCTTATGCTGTTCTGTTGCAAGGTCTTCTACGCCGCCACTCCTCAATGATTCTAGTAGCGTTGCTGTTGATCCTACCAACCTAGCTGTTTGCACTGGCAGTGATAATTTAACATCTGATGAATCGATGGTGGTGCATGTGGTGCACCCGGCCGGAGATTGGAATAGACGAGACCCTTCACGTTTGCCGGCATACTGCCAGAATAGTGAGTCTCCTGCGCGATGCTTCTCCGTCCAAAGCGCAGTTCACTTAGTACAAAAGTGGAGAGCTGGCATGGCGGACATGTACAATGAGTCAGCAGGAGTGGTGACAGTGTGGTTGCACCCAGAGACCAGATTCAACTGCTCCATCCTGCTCAGCTCGGAGAGCACAGCTGTAAACATTAACAGCAACGTCGGCCCGATTGCCATTGCCACTGTGGCAAGTCCAGGATGCCCTAGGTCTATTCTTCAGCAGCACACCCCCACAAACGAAGAGCCATTCTTTGTTTTATCTAATGCCACACAGGTCCTGCTGAAAGCCCTGGAGTTTCACATACCAAAAAATGGCTACGCCATGTGCGTGGTGCAATCCAGGTTGGTGAAAATCGACCAATGTCAGTTTTACGTGACTAGTGCTTGGTGGAAACACAGCACCATATTCCTCAACTCCAGCTATGCTGTTTTCCTTGTGCGTTCTCGCATGGAACGCGAACCGACCACTGACATTACCTATGTTATAACGCTGGGAAAGTTTCACGAGATTCGGTCATTTGTACGTGTTCATCGTTCGGTTAATAGTAGTGAAGAGGTACCCGTAGATCTAGGTGGCTACTCCCAGTGGCTGACAGACAATGGTACGGACATGGCAATGGGGTTGGCTCTAAAGAAGATGGAACAGTTCAAACACAATCAACCAACGCGTCACCAGACTCCATGTCTTGCAAGATTTCTCCTTGCCATTCAGGACAGCGTGTTTGCGAATGCCGGCGTGAGAACCCCTGGATATTCCCAGCAGGAGTACCATGTTTATCATTTGAAAGGCAGTGCTGTTCACATCGAGACATACCCGAGTGTGCATCCATCATTTGCCTTCATTCACAACAATACATTTGCCAACCTATCCAGTCCCGAAGGGTCACCTGTTTTCTTACATGCTCGTGAAAACCAATACGGCAGCCGGAATGCAGCTGCTTCAAGACGCCACGTACTGATCAGTAACTGCACATTCATCAATAACACTGCCATGCTTGGCGGTGGGGTGAGCATGCTGTTTGATCGTCGAATTATACGGGCCACGGCCGCTGTCATCCAGTCACGGTTTCTCTTGAACAAGGCTCGGCAGGGTGGTGGAGCCTTCTTTGCAAGGTTTTCACGTGCCAAAAGTTGTGTGTGGATGCGTAATGTTGAGTTTGTTCGCAACACTGTGATCTCGACAGTTATTTTAGGTGCTGCTCTGTCTCTCTGGGGTCCACCGGGAGCTGTCAAAGGCAAAGTGGACTGCTTTGAAGGAGAATTTGACGAGCAATTTGGCATGGAGAATGGTCATTTTGAAGACAACCATGGTGTCGGGGCTTTATGCCTCCAGAACGTGCGCGCTTCATTCTTCAATTCAACGTAAGTTGTTCTCTTTTCTTTCCCTTTAAAAGATGGGTTCTCCCCACCCCTTTGGGAAATCTAAACATAGGGATGTTATAAATTTTTCATTTCTCCAATTTTCTTTCAAGACGTAAACTGGGATTCGAACCCGCACTATCGCCCAGCATGCATGCATCTCCCTATACATCAGGGAGTCGTATATATAATACCAAGATCAAGAGTCTCTTGATAATACGACGAATATTGTGGCCAGCTGTTTGTAGCCAGCTGTGTTTGATGGTGCGGTACGGTACGGGACAGACACGGGAGCCAGCAAATATTGTGGGCAGCTGTTTGTGGCCAGCTGGCTGCGTTTGGTGGTACGGTACGGTACGGGACAGATACGGGATAGCGCCAGGCGTGACACAAACAAACAAATATTGTGGCCAGCTGTGTTTGATGGTACGGTACGGTACGGGACAGATGCGGGAGCCAGAAAATATTGTGGCCAGCTGGGTTTGATGGTACCGTACGGTACGGGACAGATACGGGATAGCACCAGGCGTGACGCAAACAAACAAACAAATAAATAAATACCAAATTAAAGCTGTGTGGACCCTGGCTAGCGCCAGACGTTACTGAAGTAACGTCTTCTGCATAGCTACGGGAATTAAAACCCTAGTTGGAAACTCCCTGGACTAGATGCAGCAGCAGTGGTGTTTTCCACTCCAACGGGCAAAAATTCCTGTTGAACCAGTCGAATGTTTCTCTCAAAACTCAAGCAGTTGTGAAGTTAGGAACAATGTACTTGTATAGCGTAGAATCCCGCGGATAAGCCCATGGGCTTATCTGTCTCACAAGGACATCTCGGTGGGCTTATACAAGAACATGGGCTTATAAGCGGGCATGGGCTTATACGCTGACACCAAAATTGTGCTATTGAAAAGTACCAAGGAAGTGAGAAGTACATTGCTGAAAGCCACTGTGCAAACAAAAACAACCGATGATTGTGTTGAAATGTACAAGCCTACATGTACTGAGTACATCATGGTACATGGTACGACCAAGAGTCCACAATTTATGGACTCTTGGTATGACCTCGGCCCATGGGCTTCTACAGCGAAGCTTCGCAATGTTCGAACTTGGCCTGGGCTTATGCGCGAGCATGGGCTTATACGCGGGCGGGCTTATCCGCGGGATTCTACTGTATACAATATGAGTTCAGCGCTGCTTCGTTGTTGCGGGTCCATCAACGTAATACAGATAAACTGGTAGCGATGAAAAATGCATTTCTCAAACTGCCAGAAGGTAAACCAGGCCCAGAAGTACCTTGGCAGATAGCTCCCAACTTGCAAGTCCATGAGTGGGCGACACATAGCGCAAAATGTGAAGGCATCACTTCGCACGAGAGGGCCCTGCCACTATGAGAGAGGGAGCGAAAGGGTCAATTTCCGGACTTACCACCGCGGCACAAAGAACTGGGCCTTGAACTTGATCGGTGTCGTATAATTAGTAGTAATTTAGTCAGTATCACGTAATCATTACAGTCAGTATCATGTAATCATTACAGTCAGTATCATGTAATCATTACAGTCAGTATCATGTCATCATTACAGTCAGTATCATGTAATCATTACAGTCAGTATCATGTAATCATTACAGTCAGTATCATGTAATCATTACAGTCAGTATCATGTAATCATTACAGTCAGTATCATGTAATCATTACAGTCAGTATCATGTAATCATTACAGTCAGTATCATGTAATCATTACAGTCAGTATCATGTAATCATTACAGTCAGTATCATGTAATCATTACAGTCAGTATCATGTAATCATTACAGTCAGTATCATGTAATCATTACAGTCAGTATCATGTAATCATTACAGTCAGTATGACGTAATCATTACAGTCAGTATCATGTAATCATTACAGTCAGTATCATGTAATCATTACAGTCAGTATGACGTAATCATTACGGAGATCGGAGGCGGATAATACTGTAAAAGCCTTCTTTATTTTTAAAACGAGCCAAAACCCAATCCAAGGGAGGCGAATACGTATGGAAATCTGCTTCCTACATGTATCTTGCTGACTATTTCCTCTGCTTGTTGCATTTTGTGAATGCGTATCATTTTACTTACATGGTTGCTGGCCTTCTACCCCGTCTCTCTCTGTCTGTCTGTCTCTCTCTCTCTCTCTCTCTCTCTCTCTCTCTCTCTCTCTCTCTCTCTCTCTCTCTCTCTCTCTCTCTCTCTCTCTCTCTGTCTCTCTCTCTCTTGTCTCTCTCTGTGTCTCTCTCTGTCTCTCTCTCTGTCTCTCTCTGTGTCTCTCTCTCTGTCTCTCTGTCTCTCTCTCTCTCTCTCTCTCTCTCTCTCTCTCTCTCTCTCTCTCTCTCTCTCTCTCTCTCTCTCTCTCTCTCTCTCTCTCTCTCTCTCTCTCTCTCTCTCTCTCTCTCTCTCTCTCTCTCTCTCTCTCTCTCTCTCTCTCTCTCTCTCTCTCTCTCTCTCTCTCTCTCTCTCTCTCTCTCTCTCTCTCTCTCTCTCTCTCTCTCTCTCTCTCTCTCTCTCTCTCTCTCTCTCTCTCTCTCTCTCTCTCTCTCTCTCTCTCTCTCTCTCTCTCTCTCTCTCTCTCTCTCTCTCTCTCTCTCTCTCTCTCTCTCTCTCTCTCTCTCTCTCTCTCTTTGCTCACCGAAGCCACTTGGCATAAGCCAAGCTGTAGACTCGGTGTTCCGCTGGATCACCCCAACACGAACAATCTATCGATGACAAAATTGCTTCCCCCCGGGGTGTAAATTGTGATTTTCATGATCCTTTGCTCCTTTTTCTAGCAAATTCAATCCCTGTAAAATGCTTGGGTGGTTGTGTGATTGGCGTTCACGCACAGATGCACACACACACACGCGCGCGCGCGCGCACGCACACACATACACACACACATACTTACAAGTACACACATACACACACACACATAAAACATACACACATACAAACACACACACACACACATACACACACACACACACACACACACACACACACACACATACACACACACACACACACACACACACACACACACAACCGCACACACACACACACACACACACACACACACACATACACACACACACACACACACACACACACACACACACACACACACACAAATGAAAATTGATTTAAAGGTTTGACTTGGCTTTTAGCCGTCAACAAGCTTTCTGCTCCTTCACAAAACCAGATTTCAATAAAATATTTCCGTTGGTGGATTTTTACCATCTTTGTCCACAGTTCAATTCTCAACAATAATGGAACAGGTTTGGTGGTGCAACAGTCCATGGCTACGTTTATGGGATCAGTGAGAATAGAAAACAACACAGGAGACCATGGTGGGGCCATTCAAGTTAGCAACAGGGGTCGTGTTGACTTCAGCAAGGTAACCAGATCACACAGCGCACATTGTTTAGAGTGGCAGCAGCATAGTGCGCGTGTACAAGAAATGGACAGTATGTTGAACTGCATATAATGTTATTATGGTTGTGTAGATGGTTATTTAGATTTGGTTTCCGCCCTCTGAAACAGTCTGGATTTTCTTCCTCTGGTCAGGCAACATCGCTTTCAATATTGAACAACACTGCAGCTGGTAAGGGTGATGCTATCTTCATTGATGTCTACACATCCGTATCAACCTTCAACAAACTGAAGATCTTCATTGGTAAGGACCGCTATCTGCCCTCGTGCCCCGTTCTGCTACCAGCTAACATGGACAAAGAGATGCGCCGCAAGGTTAGATTCAACATGACACGCGTATAGAGAGTAGCTTTGACTCTGCTCTGGTCAAAAATCACTACACGGTGTATGACGATGCACGTACTGTTTCCATACATGCCGTGTTTTACACAATGAACTTCTCTTGCAGCAAAGAGTTCACAAGGTACATTGAAGTCTTCACATCAATCTACTAAGAAATTCAAGGTGTTTTCTTTTTAAATAACAAAAATTGTCAGCCGAAAGGAAATATTTCTGATTTGGAAAATGGTCATTAATGCCACGGTGTGGTGTTTCTAGTACTTGTGTTCCTCAGTTTGGAAATGCATAGGCAATATTCGGCATAGTCAGCACGTTCATTTGAAGTGTCAGTACAGGTAGGTCCGGCACTATTGGTCATGAAGTTGATTGTTCCAACTAGGAACACGCGCTTCTTGCCGAACTGGACACTTGACTGACTCACGACTGCCATCCGGAGCACACGAGGAGCACGTCGCACCTTCCACTCGGCAAACCTGCAAGAAAGCACCATTCCCTGCTCAATACACAGTGTTTCGGGGAATGCGGGGAATTCACCCTCATCAGTTGAGCTTGTGCCTGCAAAGCCCCACTTACATACTGCAGTATATAAGTGGTGCTTTTCAGGCACAATCTTCCTCAGCCTACTCAAGCTCAACTGATGAGGGGTGAATTCCCCGAAACACTGTGTATTGAGCAGGGAGTGGTGCTTTCTTGCAGGTTTGAGTGGAAGGTGCGACGTGCTCCTCGTGTGCTCCAGATGGCAGTTGTGAGTCAGTCAAGTGTCAAGTTCAGCAAGAAGCGTGTGTTCCTAGTTGGAACAATCAACTAAATGACTATTACCGCCGAAGTCGCAACTTCTAAGTTGGCACTATTGGTGTCGTTTATATCGCAAATCACCTTGTTACCACATGACTGTATAATTTGGTGCTCAAGGCTGTCCTCAGTGCAGCAGTGTTGAACACTACATGGAGTGTGCACAAGACTCTCTACCTAATGGGAAGCGAGATATGCACCTACCTTACAGCATCTCCTCCTTCAAGGCTATATTTTTTTCTTGTCCTCACCCAGATCACCACATCCAACGGAGCTGCAAACACGACTAGCCCGGCAATATTTGCCGGCAGCTGGCACAAGTGCTACACGAGCTACGGCCTTCTAGATGACTACCCTAAGGATGAGCTACCGTATTGCGACCCGTACCCACCGGCTGACTGGAGTTACATCAAGCAACATCAGACAACGGAGATCAACTGTTCAGCAAACAGTCCTCACAGCTTGCATGGAGCTGATGGTCAGGCTAAACGTGGAGGTTAGTCCTGAGTGAAACTGAATTTTCCATTGAAACATTTCCAAGACGTCTTATTCAAAATCAGTTAATGAGTATTGATCGAACTACTAACATTAGTTTGATCAATACTCAGTTTAGACAAGTGTATATTTTCTGTTCCCTGTTTTGCTGATACAGTCTGGGTCACAGTCTGGGTCAGAGTTGACGACTACCTCTTTCGACTACAAGTACATGTACATGTAAGAGAAACATAAGGACGAACTCTGGAGACCAATGCCAAGCTGCAAGCAGTATAGATATCTAGTCTCGAACGAGTTGCACTTGTGGACACGAGTGCTTGCGCTGTGTCTACTACGCGTACATGCTGAATGTACTTACAACGGACCTAGTTCGAAGAAACACTAAAAAATCGTCATAAAAAGGAGAAAAACATCGATTTCAAAAGTTCTATCGTCAGGCGAAATTACTGGTCAGTCGGCGACACGCATTTTTCACAAAAATTTGCGTTTCACCTGCTGGGAGAGTATGCATGTACTCGAGTCTCATCTTGAGCACGTTTTTTTCTTCTTTTTTTCAGCTCCAGTATAGCTGTATTTTTCATTGCAAAGCCGTCCTCGATTGTTGTGTTCGTTGTTCAAACGAAGTGGACATTCAATCATGAAGGCAGAGGACATAGGAGCCTGTTTGGAGTTTCTCGTGGCATAGGACGGCCACACAGAGACACTTTGGGATTTCCTGAATATAAAATACCGTACGCACGATGCTGAGATCAATTTGTGCGATATCAAATTGTTTGTGATCTACCACATCGAGCAGAACGGGATCCAAACACAAGCTTACCGACGGTTAGGCTGCCGACCTGACTGGACAAATGATCCCTGGCTTCACCAGACGCCAGAAGTCGGACACCATGTCCTTTGCCGCGACGTCCATCTCCAAAACGAACTCCATCTTCGTCGTGAAAAGGCTTGAAATACTCAATATTCAACCAAGATTCGCGGACTCACGCTTTCTCGGATCGATTAATTTCCTGTTGGAACAGTTGCAGGGCAGCTTCCCGCTACTGTTTCAACAGGCGATGGCTCCAAAGCATGCCTGGAACAAGCCATATCGAGGTTGCAAGCCACCCCTCTCAGCAAAAAATTCGAAGAAATTCGAAATTTCAATGGTGGAAGATATACTATGAAGAGAATTTCAAAAAGTATGTTTCGCGGAGCGATCGCTCGACCTACGTCATTCAAACTTTGCAGGATGGTTCAGACGTACATGCTAGGCATGGAACCACAGGCGATGATGCCATAGCTGACACACAGAGTAACACACACAGCAGATTCGTGTGCACAGATACTAAATTAGTGGACGTCGTCATCTTCTTCCCGCTGATCTCGAATGTACTATGACGTGCTATTTCGCCTGACGCCCAATCCCGGGACTTTCGTATCACTGGACCCCGGAACAAGCACCCTATTCCCTGGACTGGGTAAATTTTTGACAGTTGGGACCGGTTTGCGTTTTTTGGGCTCCGGTAGAAATGGCCGTTTAGGTCCGTATTTCACAGTATACTGATAGTAAAGCATTAGCAGACAGCATGGAGGCAGGGTCTGATCCTGCAAGTGTTGCAACGACGGGTGACCAGAGCTTGGAGGCATGGAGAGGTGTTGCACCCGCCCACCTGAAGAGCTGTACTGCTTCTTCCCCAGCTTTGAAGCAAGTAAGCATTCATGACTATTTAGAAGCTCTAGAGGGTCACGGATATGAGGATATTGTATCCATTCAACTGCTAAGCACAGGCAGATGCCACATCACGCTCAGCTGCCAAGAATCAATCAGAAAACTATCCCTTGAAGGTTTCTCCGTTCGAGGATAACAAATTGTCCCTGTGCCATTGGTAAATCCACATATTCAGTTGCACATGCACGACATTCCTGTCTGGATTTCAGATCCCGCAGTCATTACAGCATTATCTTCGTACGGTACGGTAGTAGGCACAGTTCGACATGGCCGCCTGAATTTGAAGTCTGGCAAATTTGCCGCCACTGGGGTCAGATTTGCCACTTTTATGCTGACACCTGGCGTGGCCATTCCATCGTTTATCAGTACGACAGGCAGTACAAGATTCAGAGTTCACTACGAAGGTCAAAAACCCACGTGACGCATCTGCGACTCCCCTGCTCACTTGGCCAGTGCATGCCCAGTCCGGAAACAACGGATGCCTTCAGCGCACACCAGGCAATGGGAGACGCCCTCACCTGACGTACTGTCGGAGTTGTGTAAATCCAACGCTGAGGCACCGGTCTTGAAAGCCTCTCAGCTAGCGAGTACTTCTAGCTCTGCGAGTATGTCCATTGCCACGGAGCCTTCTTCGAAATCCACCGACAACTCTCAGATCGAACAACACGATGATAACCCTGCTAGCCAGAAGTCTTGTTTGACCCAATTCCTTCCAGTTGTTGAGCATGGGGCTGTTCAACCTGCCAATCAACCGGCCGAACAGTGCTTGGACAAGTGCGCTTCTGACCAAGCCTATTCACCACCCGAGGCACCTGTTCACCACTCGGAGGATAAGTCCCTGTCTGCCTCCCAGGATCTTCGAATCAACAAACTCCTGAGTGATGCCGCTGACCACGACTGGATGAAGGAGTTTGTAGAAGTGGCTCCCTTACGTCGTGGAAAACGCCATGAGTCATCGCCAACCAGTCAATCCACAGAACCTTGCGTGGCAGCTCAAGGAAAGAAGGCAAAACGGGGAAAGGAGAGCTTTTCTGGATCTCGCTTCCGCAACCTTTCTGTAGAAGCATGAACACCGTAAGAACTGTTAGAACTATAATGTCTTATTATATAGTTATTAGTAATGATAGATCATCTGAACACAATTTCTTTAGCTGTATCTTTTTTAAATGTATGTAGTTTCCGCCGTGAGATACCAGGAATCGAGCAGCTCGTTGCTGCCCGGGGCGTCATGCTGATGTTTCTGGCTGAAACATGGCTTGATGAAACAATTCCTGATGGTGACCTCTCCATTCCACATTTCAGCATTCACCGCAAGGATAGAGGAACCCACGGCGGTGGTGTACCAGTGTACTGCCATGAGAGCCTTGCTGTTCGCCACTGTAGACACCTGGAGTCCACCGAACTTGAAATGATCTGACTGGAAACGACCATTTCCCATAGGAAACATATGCTCGGCTGCGGTTATCGATCTCCATCAGAAGCACTCACATATTGGAAGAAGCTGGAGCACAATCTTGCTCGCGTCACCGAAACAGCAGCTGAAACAACTACACTGGTAGGCGATTTCAATGTCGACATTCATACTACTTCGCTCACTCCGCTCCATGATATAATTATGTTCAAATATTGATCTTGTCAACTAAGTTCATTCGCCTACGCGTGTCACGAGTCACTCCAGGAAGGTAATAGACCTTTTCTTCACGTCTGCTGAGCTGGATGGAACTTGCGAGGTGCTTCCTTTAGACATAAGCGATCATTTTGGTCTGCTGGCGCGGCTAGCCATTCCGATTCCCAAATCCACCAAACGGCGTGTGACATCTCGCTCGCTGTACAAAGTGGATTGGTCAGTCTTCAACACCGAACTCGCTGACTCCCTTGCGTCCTTCAGAATAACGTGTAACATAAATGAAGCAGTCGAGTCCTGGTATCGCATTCTGCGGGCTGTCCTCGATAGGCACGCCCCGGTGCTGTCGAAGAATCGTACACGGCGACCATGCCCATGGCTGACTGATAACTTAGTTCAACTTGTCCGCAGGCGTAACGCGCTTCACAAGCAAGTTGTAAGAGATCCAACAAATGAAGACCTGCGAAATCAGCACAAACTGGCTCGCCGAGATGCTAGGCGGTTGGACCGACAGCTTCGAAATGCGTATTTCATGAACAAATGCTGCACGACTCCCTCCCACAAACTTTGGTCTATCATCGATAAAGTCACTGGCAGGTCGAAGTCGCATCAAGAGCCACAGGCATCACTCGATGATCTCATCAAGACGTTTGATGAAATCGTCACGGATGCTCGACGTCCTGACGTCCTCTCTGTCCCTCACGCTCCCCACAATGAACATGGACTTCTCACTTTCCAACCATGTACCACAGAGCAAGTAGTGAAACTGTTAACGAACATCGACCCAAGTAAGGCTACTGGTAGCGACGGCGTTCCCGGATTGGTTCTGAAGATGGCTGCCCGCACACTGGCACCGACCTTGAGCGCAATATTCAACCACGCGTTGCAGACAGGGGAAGTTCCAACAGCATTTAAACTCTCGTATGTATCTCCGCTTTTCAAGTCGGGATCACCTACTGTTACGGAGGTAGCCTCAATTGAAGTACTATTCGTTCTCGTTCTGCTTCTTTGAATGTTGCTGAACAGTTTTCCTCTCCATGCTCTGCTAAATCGTTGCCTGTACGCGCCACGTCTAGCGCCTTGTTTCTACGCTAACACTTAGTACCTTATTCGTCATCACGCGCTCTTCTTATCTACATGTATGTGCTAAGTGTTGGTGTAGAGGCAAGGTGTTAGATGTGGCCGCCGCTCTTGCTATATAGTTCATTGGAGCGTAGGCACAGTTGTTGTTTTTCCAGAGTTCGGCTTGTGATGGTATTCTTCTGAATGGTCATCGAACTAAATCTGAGTATGGTTCAAGACAGTTAGTTGCCTTTCGAGAGTATCTCTGGGTTTATGAGCCACACCTACATCCGCCAGCAATTATTGTCCGATTTCCTTACTTCCCATCATCTCACGCTTATTAGAGAAACTCGTCAAGGACCAGCTGGATCGGTACTTGAGCAACAAAGGTCTATTCGCCAGCACGCAGTTTACTTACCGCCGAGCCCACTCTACTGAGGATGCGCTGGTTTTAGCGGTGGACAGATGGAAAGACGCACAGTCCCAGCGAAAAGCTGTCAGTGTTGTTATGGTCGACATGTCTAAATCGTTCGACCGAGTCCAACATGAACGTCTCATCATAGACCACACTCACTGGGATTTCATGGCAAGGTTCTGGAGTGGCTCGTGAGCTACCTGTCCGGTCGGCATCAGCGGATAAAGGTTGGAGCCGAGTTATCGCCCGCAACAGCTTGCAGCCGAGGCGTCACGAGGCCACAAGGGAGTGTCCTTGGCCCCCTCCTATTTGTATTATATACTAGAGCCATTAGCGACATCCTACCAGCCGCTATCGCCCATCAGGAGTTTGCTGACGACATCCTAATAGAATTTTCACACGCAAATGTAGCACTTGTTGTGCAGTTCCTCTCCAACGCAGTAACCGCGCTAGCAGAATGGCTTGGAGACATTGGTCTTCTTCTGAACAAGAAGAAGACCCAAGTAATGTTTTTGAAGCCTCGAGGGCAACAAGATCCAGTCCATCGCGTCCGCTGCAATGGAGATGAGCTTGCCACAGTGTCATCCGCAAAATACCTTGGTGTCATTTTCGACGACGACCTGAGCTGGCGGTCCCACATCCAACACCTTGCGACATAGGGAAGGCCGTAAGTCATCTATGGCGACATGGGGATGCACTTAGCACCACGGCACGCCGGATATGGTATGTTGCCATGATACAAGCCAAGCTGTGCTACGCCGCAAACGCCTTCTTCCTCTCGCTGTCTGCCGCTGGTCTCACTTGGCTCGAAAGATCGGCGAAGTCCGGGGTTCGAGCAATCCTACGACTGCAGAACCCGATCGCGACCCAGCCGCTGCGAGAGAGACTCTCATTGTCCACCATTGAGAGATTGTTTCAGCGAAAGCTCCTCATGTTTGTATTCCATTGCCTGCACTCTCTGTCAAGTCACTTGTTTTCGTCTTTGTTCACCCCAACCGCACCTTCTCAAGAAGATCATGACCGAAGGGCCACTCGCAGACAGGTGACATGGCTTTTACGTGTCCCCTTCCTTCCGGGTCCTGCTGGACGGTCCTCCATCCGTTTCCAAGGTGCCATTCTCCGGAATAAGCTGCCGGCTGAAGTTAGATGTATATCACAAAAGGATGAATTCAAGAGCACCATCTGACACTGTATTGAGTCGCTTGTCCCTACCTCTTTGTGTCTTAGCCTCTAGAACCGCTAGTTCTTCAGTTGCCTCTTTTTCTGCACGATTGCCTTGGTTGTAAGTTCTCACCTCTTTTCTGCACCATTGCCTTCAGGAACGCTGTACTTTTGTTCTCGCATCCTTTCTGGACATTTCCCTCCAGAAACGCTTTATCTGTAATCGTCAGGGAAATCTTGCATAACAACTAAACTATCGTAATCCGACATCATCATTATTCATTTTCTCATATCTTTTTCATACATATTCATATCGCAGATTTCTCGTTTTTGGTAGGAATCGGAGAATCCTCTCGCCGGTGAGAAGGCAGTATTGCCTGTGCCCTGAGCGAATTGAAATAAAAGAATACAACAACTACAACGACTGTCCCGGGAAACCCTGGACGGTTGGCATTTATTTATTTTATTTATTTATCGTCTCCACTTCATGGCACATAATAATACATAGCCAATACAAGAAACAGGCGCGTAGGCTTTGGGTGCCAAAGCACCCCTCTCAAAAATTTCGACCATGGGTCTGGCTTGGCATGCATTGCCAGGGGCGTTGCACACGGTACGGTCACTACGGTATTGACCGTACCACTATTTGCCCCAAGTACCCCGTGAATCAATAAAATGCACTGATTTGGGCTCTAAATTTCCAAAATGTTCAGCTCAGCCATCTCCCATCAGCAAATTGTACTTCAGATGGCTGACCGTACCACACTAAAATACCTTCCGACGCCCCTGATTGTATGATCAAACAGATTCAGCTTGAACTGTGGGTCCTGACTTGATTTCTAGTCACCAGTCACCTGCATACTATTAATTTAGCTTGCTCTAAATACATCATTAGTATCGGATATCTACTCCCAAACTATCACTTTAATAATAGCATAGTATACAGTACACTAGCTGTCACACAGAAGAGGCCCACATTTTTATTGAATGTTTTCGCTCTATTCACATCATGACGATACATAGACAACAGTTGACAATGCAATGCAAATGTGTAATTATATAGATTGTTGGAATGGGAAGCTGGAGACATTCTTAATACATAAATTTAAGGTGTACACCGCACTAGCATGCATATACAATATGCATATATACAAGATTCCTCAAAAGAACGTTTTTGGAAGAAAATTATGGGCACCCCCTTGACCATGATCGTGGCTACGCCCCTGAGAAAGGGAGGGTGAATCCAACCACGAAAAATAGCATTAACAAAAGAAGAAAAGGAAGGGAGGAGACACCATGTGTCAACAGCAGGTAGCACAATACAGTGCTATTGTAGCTGAAATGCATCCTTAAAAGCTGAGGGAGACTGTGAACAGTGAATATTATAAAAGAGTTTGAGGCAAAATGTGTAAGCCATAAAGACAGGTGATTTGATTATTAGGGACAATCGAGGGGAAGGTAATGATACCTGGTGTCTTGTATTTCTCTTTCGCTGGAACCAATCATATTTCTTGAAGTGCCTGGGAATTTGCTTAAGATAGATTTTCTGAACGAGTGCACGCAGGTGTGCTTGGCGTCTATCAGCAAGTGGAGAGGAGGCTACGAGAGAGTATATATGCTTACTGTTATGCATGAGGGATTTTCCAAATAGCCGTTTAATTATTTTCATGTATGCCATACGGCAGTTACATCGACCTCTTGAGAAGTTGAGACTTCTTAATTTGCCAATCTCTACTACAACTATAATTATAGTAGAGGTGCCGTTGGCGATTCTTGTGACAAATCAATTCTGCCTCACTACAGTCCATTCAGAAAAGATGATATCCTAGCTTTTGGCCATAAACGGGTCAAATTTTGAGTTTTCGTAACTATTTTTTGGCAATCCCCCATGGAATGCTCTTCTAATTGTGTTTTTGAAGTCTATTTCTCCAAAGAGCAAGCCATAGGATTTCCGCCAGGTGTTATCCCCAACGCACTGAATTGGGGAAAAACCATGAAAATCCAGGTCGTTCACTCCACTTGCATAACAGTACATTTGCGGTTCGAACCCCAGTTGAGGTCCCTTTTTTGGACCCTTTTTCAAGTTTCGAATCTCGCGGCATTGCACAGTGTACCACAAAATCACAAAATACGGGAGCTCTCCAGAGCCAGCGCTCATCTTTTTTTCTGAATGGACTGTAGTTTCACCTCAATCCTGGTGATGGTTCCTGGCCGAAATTTTGATTGACATACCGTATTTCCGCAAATAAAAGGCCGTCCTCGTATACAACGCTGTCCTTGTATACAACGCCTTCCTCGTATACAGCGCCGTCCTCGTATACAACGCATTCCTCGTATACAACGCCTTCCTCGTATACAACGCCTTCCTCGTATACAACGCCTTCCTCGTATACAACGCCTTCCTCGTATACAACGCCTTCCTCGTATACAACGGCTTCCTCGTATACAACGCCTTCCTCGTATACAACGCCTTCCTCGTATACAACGCCTTCCTCGTATACAACGGCTTCCTCGTATACAACGCCTTCCTCGTATACAACGCCTTCCTCGTATACAACGCCTTCCTCGTATACAACGCCTTCTTCGTATACAACGCCTTCCTCGTATACAAGGTTTTATTATTTTTTATTATTTATTTTTTATTTAGTTTGTTTAGTTTGTTATGATTTCTTGGTTTTCCACCCGGTTTAGTTATAATTTAAATTATTATTTGGTGCAGCTTTAGCGCTATGTGGTTTATTATTTTCCTTTTTCTTAATTTCGTATTTAGCGCTTTTGGGCGTCATTATTTTCTTCTCATTATTTCGCACAAAGTTATTATTTTGTGGTATTCTCTAGCTTCTGTTTGTTTTGCAGTTGTTCTTGTGCAACCCCCCCCCTCCCCCCCCCCCCACACACACACACATTTTTCGATGCCTAGTTGCAACGCTGACGCCGAGACCTCTGGTCGGTTGTGTTGCTCCCAGCACATCAGCACGTCATCCCTACATCCCCTATGTTTTGTCCTTTTCCTCGTTTCTTTTTGTTCTCCACCTGTTTTCCAGTAGGGCTGTGTCAATAGTAAAAAATATATAAAAAAATAAAAAAGGCCGGGGCAGGGGGTGATTGAAAAAAGTAAAAGACCGTCTCCGATTAGAAGACCGGGCCTACTAAATGAGTCTTTGTTCTTGTGTTAAAAATAGAAGACCGTGCTGAAACTGTGGCGAGAAATAGAAGACCGGGGTCAAACTGGGTTGAAAGAATAAAAGACCGTCCTCGAATACAAGACCGTCCTCGATTATAAGGCCGGGTTAGGACGCGGTTGAAAAAATAGTAGACCGGCTTACCATTTGTGGAAATACGGTAATAGGGCTAGGGGTTTGCAGCAAATAGACCACTTTCTTGGTTTTCAATGTGATGGTGTAGGGATTTTCGTGTAAGTGGCTGCAGTGGAGCCTGGACATCTTTCAAAGAAATCATTTCTGTGTATCAGTAGTAAGCTACTCAATGTCCGTGTGTACCACCTTGCTCTCTGTAGCACATAGAAAGCCGAACGCAGATTGATATTTCACAATTGCTCTTGGGGTCCCTGAAGCCATTAGGCCATGGGTTTAGAATAATATGTGTGTGTGTGTGTGTGTGTGTGTGTGTGTATGCGTGTGTGTGTGTGTGCGTGTGTGTGTGTGTGTGTGTGTGTGTGCGTGCGTGTGTGTGTATGTGTGTGTATGTGTGTATGTGTGTGTGTGTGTGCATGTATGTGTGTGTGTATGTGTGCATGTGTTTGTATGTGTGTGTGTGTGCGTGCGTGTGTTTGTGTGTGTTTGTGTGTATGCATGTGTACTCCTGTGTTGTTTTGACTACAGGCAACTATTTTCTAGGAAACGAAAGTAAACTGTGTCACACTGCCTGTCAGAATTTCACTGTGGTCAGCAAACTTGGTTTGTTCGCAAAGAAGATAAAGACAGTGGCAGCCTGGATGTTTTTCGAGGAAGCAACAACATCGTGCTACAAACAATTACCTGGAAAAGTCTGGTACTTCCGGAGAAAGTGCTCCAGGAAAAAGATATTTGACTTTGCGTTGAATGATCGAAGGAGGTAAGAGCTTCATTCATGGTTTTCTTAACTTGTCTGGGTGAGATAATTGCACTGGGGTTTCCTGAAATATTTGGCTGTCTAAGGTACGTGTTATCTCTTCGCTCCCTCACCCTTTCCCATCAATCGACTTATACGATTCATCGCAATAGAAATTCGGACTCTGAAATGACCCTGCTTTGATATTAATTTATTATTATTTTATTTTATTTCACCGTCCAATGGCAGAAGCCAATGCAAAGGAGGGGGCGTTAGCCAGCCATGGCAAGAGAAGAAAAATCGGTATGTTTTGCTGGCATCTGTGCACGGTAAGGAAACGTTTAGCATGGCACGTCACTTTTATGTACTTTTGCACTCATTTGTTTGGCGGCATTGAATTCAGTATCAGGATTGTCAAACGTGAATATTGAACCCTGCTCTTGTCCTGTGTTGTATACATACATATACTGTGTTGTGTGTTGCAGCCAAGGACAAGTTCCTCGCTACGACTGTTCTGCTTTTGCACTGGCTGGCCTGCACGAGCGCTACCGCACCTCTACCACATCTGTTTTACCAGGTTACCCTCTGTTGCTGACGCCATGGAGGTCGCTCATGCATTACTGGAATTCTTACACCTTAAAAGACCTTTCGTTGACGGAGGCTGAGCCCAGGCAGGTCTTCAACGAAGCCTGCAAGCCTGATAAGGTATGCTACAATGCACTGCGTTTCAATTTTCTTCAAGCAGCGTCATTGTTCTTCCATGTTTGTGCCATAACTAGTTTGTCAAATGAATCACACCACGCCATCAAGTGCTGAAATATTAGCTGATATCCTAAGCTGGTTCACACTCAAAGCTTATACAACTTGTTACTCACCTGAGCACGATGTATATGAATTGGCTTGAGTCCCTGTTCAATCAATGCTGGTGCCGATTATTTTGTCAGGCAGGGGTTCTTTGATAGGAGCCAGCAGCAGCTTTCGGCCTGTTCACCTTTGATTCAGTTCAAATTCCCAGCGCCTGTGCTCTCTGGACACACTCATAACATTCTAGCCGTTCAGTATTCTCACGACCTTCAGTGATGAGATCTGTATGCTTTAAAAAACTGTTGTATGGAGCAATTTTGTTTGTCAATAACTTTATCTAAAACAACAGTGGAGTCATGTTGCTATTGCTGGAATTATCGAGGTCGGCCAGAGAGTCTATGTGGTGGAGTTTAAACTAAATCCAGGAGTTCTTTTTCCACATTTTAGTATGTGCCTGATACACAATCTTTCCCTTTCATGTTTACTGGTGTGATTTCCTAGTGGCATACACTCGATCCCAATTTTGCGATGGGCGACTTGACCTTGTATCCGGCTCCAGGAGAGCAGTTCGACCTTACCCTCAATGTCGCTGACGAGTTCCTTTCCATCGTCCGATCAACGTTGATGCTGGAAGTAAGGGCCATTGCCATTACGGAATACTCAGTAGTTCAATTGGTAGTGTCTAGCTTGACTTCATTTCAAATTTAACTCGATTAAGATGTTTGCCGGAGTCAAAGAAGTTTGTGAAAACTCTGGGAGGTTCTTTGCAAAAAGGTTGGAAATGGCAAATGTTTTGTGGAAATTGTGGGCACAAGTTATGCGATCGAGTCCACCAACTAAACCAGATTTTGATCAGTCAGACGTACACAATCTAGCAAAAAAACTGGCAAGGAGTACTGAGACATTCCACGGCATGAAAGTCAGCTTGAGCACTGCCAACCAACGACACTTGTCAGCTTTGTGCTAGGTTGTGCACGTCTGACTGTTCAAAATCTGGTTTAGTTGGTGGACTCGATCGCGGAACTTGTGCCCACAATTTCCATGTTACAAATTTTTCCTTGGCTCACCATCTGAGTTCTAAATGGCAAATGTTCAATCCTTTCTATCTACAGCGACACCCCAAGTCACTAGCAAACTTTGGCTTTCAAAGAACTTAACAACTTTCGAGGCTTGGAGGAAGCTTATAATGGCAGGGAAAATACTTTTTTTTAAAGCTCTTTACTCTCATCATCAGGACTCAAGGACTGAAGAATTTCACAGGCTTTTTGCCTTCTCATCAAGTGAAATACAAGCAAGTACAGTCAGACCTTGCTAAACCGCTCACATCCGTTTTCCACGAAAATATGCGGATAGGCGAGGGAACCGGATAACTGAACACACATACTGTATATGCATGTGGCACATCAAAAGGGGTGGCATCGTACATACATGTGTACAGGTCCTATGCAGTACAACTAGCGTGCACAATATGTAAAACAAGCGAGAAAAATGACAACTGTCAAGGACCTCATTTGTTTGTACAGCTCCCTGGTTCTAGCTTCTGCAAGCCACATGCAACCGGGTACGACGAAGCTTTTTGTACACATTTTCAACCAGTTTGTACACAAAATCATGCACCGGTATGCGGATCGCGAGGTCCAGATATGTTGTATACGTAATGTACGCTGCACATTGGTAACCAGCGATTTTTTTCCGGACGGCGAGGGATCCGGATAAGCGAGGACCAGATAAGCGATGTCTGACTGTAGATCCAAAGAAATTTAAAAATTTAAATACAGTAAAACCTGTCAAGGCGACCACTCGGATGAGGCGACCACCTGTCCTAGAAGGCCACTGAAACCAGCACCAAGGGATGCTATTTCCAGTCAAATGACCCTGGATAAGGTGACCACCTGGTAACAGAGACCGTGCCGTTTTGAAGGTCCCATGAGCGGTCGTCTTAGACAGGTTTCACGGTATGAGTACAGTATGGCCGAAAGCTCTGTCGCAATATTTAATATTTAGGGGTCGTCCACAAATATCGATGTTTTTTTAGAGAAGATATTCGTTCGTTTGGGGGGGGGGGGGTTGGGCCCTGTTCGTCTCGTCTTTGAGAAAAAAATATCGAACTCTATCTATGGACGGGCACTGTTCAAACATGTAGTTTATGACCTACACACAGCGAAAGTCAACCTCGTGAGCATAGCCATGACAAGATTGTGCGACCGTGGCAACATAAATCGAGGTGTATGGTGAAGTTAGAGTTGCAGCTGGTCACGTTTCATGAGGAAATTGAACTTCATTAAAAAATATCGATCCTTTGCATAAATATGTGTATGTTCGTTTTGAGGGGGGAGGGGAGAAATGAACAAATATCGTCTTGAAAAAAATATCGACATTTACGGACGGCCCCTTAATATTTAATATTTAATTGTGAAATTGGTGTTACACTGCTAGAGGAATCAGTTTTGCATACACATGATGGATAAAATAGAGAACATCTGTCAGAGTGAATGCATTCCATTGGTTCCTTGGCGCTTGTCCGAAGCAGATACTGCAATCATGCCAACGAGAGGGCTTGAAAGCCCAGGAGCCTACGCTATCCTTTGTTTTTGCCTAGGTCGTCATGTGTTGTTGTTCGAACTGATAGAAACGTCTTTGCAATACAAAAACATGCGCCCGATAATCGTATTGCAAAGACGTTTCTATCAGTTCGAACAACACACATGACAACTTGGTAATAAACGAAGCATAGTGAGGGCTCCTGGGCCTTCAAGCCCTCTCGTTCCTAATTTTTTAGTTAAAAAAAGAAACTTTAGAGCTCGTATTAAAACACGAATAGATACATAACTCAAAACTCATATCAGGGGATTCGAACCTGCAATATCGCCTTGCATGCATTCCCTCTATACACTTCGCATACATACACATTCTACCAAGTTGCTTCATGTCATGATCCTGCAGTTGAAAGCCCTTATTTGAATATGGTGGCCAGTAGGCACCGGTGGATTATGCCGGCCTAATTATTGGAATAATTTGGTGGTTGAAAATTTGGAGCATAAATTGGCATCCTTTCGGAGGTAGGAGCATCACTACATGATTTTACCACAGTTCTAGTATGTAGGCTACAGAATTGTGTACAATGCACCTGATCAGTGCTGGTGGTCTGCATGGTAAAGGGTTTGGAGGTCATGCAGATAGTGTTTTCAATGAAAAGCAGGGTAGAAATCATGGCAATACATTATTGTATGCTCGAACTCGTCTTCTTCAAAGTTCTTTCTCACACTGATACAGTACATGTAGCAGAAGATGCGAGTGAATCAGCCTTTATCAGGTATCCTGGGGTGGACGAGATAGTGACGGGTAGTCCGCAAAACTCCGCATACATGTACATTATGAATGTTACGAATTCATGACCTCTGGATTTTAGCAGCCATGACTGCGCAGGCTATGGATATTCATCGGCTCGAATACGGTAATTAGAAAAAAACGAGGTATACATGTAGTTGGTGTTCTGTCATGATGGAAGGAGAGGTGTAGCTACGGGGGAGATGAGCTGATTATTCGCAGGGTGAGGGTGACATTGGTTGTCAGAGTATGACGATTACGAAGACAGTAGTTGAACATGATAATTTTCGAAGGTAACTCAAACTAATTTGGCAATGAAAAAATCATTTTTACAAAAAGAAGTCAACTAATGAATAGAAGAAGTAATGTTTTCTCTTTTCCATCATTTGACCTCTAGCATTAAGAGCCCATAACCGGGAGTTATGGACTCTTGCTAGCATGCTTGGACACCTTGGTATGGGGATCCTCATGTACATGTACGTGTAGTTTGTTGTACCAAGAGTATATGAACTCTTGGTTGTACTTATGGCCACTTGCAAGTACGAAAAAGGCACAATTTTCCGAACTTTGAGGCTCCATAAGTACAACAAAGTGAATATTTATCCTCGTGTGCCAAAGCATAATATGAGGATTTTGTGAGCATAATGCGAGAATTCATGAATGCATGAAGCATAATTCCATTATTTCGTGAGCATAATCCGCCGGAGCCTTGTGGCCAGCTGTATTTGGTGGTACGGTACAGGACACATACGGGATAACGCCAGGCATGCCAGACGGCACAAACACACACACACACACACACGCACACACACACACACATACACATACACACACACACACACACACACACACACACTGATACGAAATAGAGCGGTGTGGACCCTGACTAGACTGAGCCAGGCGCTACTAAAGTAACGTCTTTTGCATAGCTGCGGGAATTTAAAATTATAAAGTGAATGCAAGATCCAACATGAGCTGTGGTAGAAGGGTCAATACTTGTGGATTTTAAAGAGCCACTAACACAAGCATCTGCATGCTACACTCACACAGCGAGCAAACAGTCACATTTCTTTGGACTTCCGTTGTACTTGCTGTGTAGCTCACGTCCACGGATAATGTCCTGCTGCACCTCGATGGGAAAGACTACGGACCAAATGAGCGTCTTTTCTTCTCCTCAATTGGTTCTATGAGAGGGCTTTCCCTTTCCGGCATTCCAGGCAGCACGGGAGAGCTGAAGGCGACATTGATTGGACAAGCTGCACTCCGCTTCTCAATACACAGATTTTTCTGGCTCAATATACCATTCAAGCTACGCTCCTGCTTTCCGGGTTTTCGAGATCCTATGCTCAAAGACTACAAGGAAGCGGTAAGATAAGCAAGACTTAACAGGCCAATTGTCACATACGCTAAGCTACCCTATGATCCTATGACACCGTAGTGCTCTCTGATTTCATTCATGAACTCTAGCAGTCGCTTCAATTCTTGATTTACAGGATACCTCACTTCAAACTCTCCAACTACGGTCTCTTCGCTGCATACGTTCACTTCACTTCCAAAAATATATATAAATATTAGATCTTAGAAGTTGCGACTCCGGCGGTAATAGTCATGAAGTTGGTTGCTCCAACGAGGAGCACACGCTTCTTGCCGAACTTGACACTTGACTGACTCACGACTGCCATCCGGAGCACACGAGGAGCACGTCGAACCTTCCGCTCGGCAAACCAGTTGCCTGAAAGAAAGCACCACTCCCTGCTCAATGCACGGTGTTTCGGGGAATTCACCCCTCATCAGTTGAGCTTGAGTAGGCTGAGGAAGATTGTGCCTGAAAAGCACCACTTATATACTGCTCTCCAGGCCAAACCATCACCAGAGATACAAACTTACAGAGACGCTTTGTTTCCAGCGCGACAAACACCTCGTGAAGCCCCAGGTAGCAGCGTGAGTCAGAGCCGCTCATGGAGTTGTGCTAAACAGACGTTGAGAGCCAGTATAGCTATTCACAACGCTGTCACCTCCAACAACTAGTCGCACGTCCGCGTGAGGGACAACAATACGAACTTAGAAGTTGCGACTCCGGCGGTAATAGTCATGAAGTTGGTTGCTCCAACGAGGAGCACACGCTTCTTGCCAAACTTGACACTTGACTGACTCACGACTGCCATCCGGAGCACACGAGGAGCACGTCGAACCTTCCGCTCGGCAAACCAGTTGCCTGAAAGAAAGCACCACTCCCTGCTCAATGCACGGTGTTTCGGGGAATTCACCCCTCATCAGTTGAGCTTGAGTAGGCTGAGGAAGATTGTGCCTGAAAAGCACCACTTATATACTGCTCTCCAGGCCAAACCATCACCAGGGATACAAACTTACAGAGACGCTTTGTTTCCAGCGCGACAAACACGCGGACGTGCGACTAGTTGTTGGAGGTGACAGCGTTGTGAATAGCTATACTGGCTCTCAATGTCTGTTTAGCACAACTCCATGAGCGACTCTGACTCACGCTGCTACCTGGGGCTTCACGAGGTGTTTGTCGCGCTGGAAACAAAGCGTCTCTGTAAGTTTGTATCCCTGGTGATGGTTTGGCCTGGAGAGCAGTACAGTCGTCCCTCTCTAATCCGGCACTTGTTAATCCGGAACCCTTGCCAACCGGCGCACTTTCTGATGAAACCGATTTTTTTCGTTCAATTCCTACATCGTAATCCGGCACTTGAATTCCGCCTCCGGCAGTGACTTTTTGAAACGAATCGCTCAAACTGCACGTAGTTTGATTTCATAATCCGGCAGTCGTAAATCGCGTACCGTACAGGTGCACTCCTTGCCAGGCCAGTCTGGTCAGTGCCGCGCGCGCGGGGCCACTTCAGAGTTCAGTTATCGATCGAATTCAGTTGACAACTGTACTCGACCTCGCGCGGGAGAGTTCAGTTCGGTTGGTTGTTAGGACTTTTCCGAACCCGAACTCAATTTATACAAAGAGAAAGACCAAGGAACTACAAGTTACGCTATACTGTCCACTAACACCACCAGTTACTAAACAATCAGCGACGATGCACGACACTGACCGACGGTACTGGCGTTCTAACACTAACTGGCTAACAGCTCTAGCACATCTTGGATGCGCACTCCAACAGCCTTCCAACTCTGGCACAAGCATCCCGTGCACTTGCTGATGCAATTGTTTGCTTCGAAGGACATCCGTCGTTCGACCTGCATGATGTTGACTGCTTGCGTGGCCTTCTCAAGAGGGTCAATGTTGTCCAGGAGACAACTGCTAAGCAGTCAACCATACTTTCTTATTTTAGCAAGGAGTAGTGTCCTGCCAATTTTCAGGTCTGTGTGTGTGCGTGTGTGTGCAAGAGTACATGTGAACATGTTCTCTGTTTTACTTTATCACTTTATCACTGTGTATATTCCTGGAGAACAGTTGAGAATATAAAGTTGTGCACCAAATACTTGGATCGACACGGAAAAACCCTGCGTTTTGACGTATGACACATGCATGCAATTGGGTAGGGCCGGGTCAGAGGGCAGGATTTCTTAATCCAGCACCCTCGTTAATCCAGCAGAAAACGCCGTAGCAAAAGGTGCCGGATTAGAGAGGGACGACTGTGTATAAGTGGTGCTTTTCAGGCACAATCTTCCTCAGCCTACTCAAGCTCAACTGATGAGGGGTGAATTCCCCGAAACACCGTGTATTGAGCAGGGAGTGGTGCTTTCTTTCAGGTAACTGGTTTGCCGAGCGGAAGGTTCGACGTGCTCCTCGTGTGCTCCGGATGGCAGTCGTGAGTCAGTCAAGTGTCAAGTTCGGCAAGAAGCGTGTGCTCCTCGTTGGAGCAACCAACTTCATAAATATTAGGTATAAATGGAATGCACCAAATTTTCAGCCGACAGCTTTCACCACTGCTGCTACCCTCCACACTTGGTTACAGACACCAGCATTCCACAGCAGATGCCTTAGCGCTAGCTGTAGAGAACATCAATGAAGCACAAGCCGCTGGGCAGCACACAGGAGTAGCATTTGTCGACATGTCTAAAGCTTTCGACAAGGTAAAGCATAGCATTCTGGTTGAGGACCTCTTTGAACTGGGTCTCACTAGCACTGCTTTGCAATGGTTTTCAGACTACTTGATGTATCGCCGGCAATACGTGGAGATAGGAAAAACCAGAAGTACAACTTATGACAGCCAGTCAGGGGTTCCTCAGGGGTCAGTTCTCGGACCTTTGCTCTTCGTTCTGTATGTGAGGGATATTGCCGGCGACCTTGCCCCTCATGACGTCACCACTATTCAGTTTGCTGATGACATCTCGCTGCGTGCGAGCAGTCCACAGCCAGAAGTTGTCTCCCAGCGCCTCACTGCAGCAGTTCAGTACCTGGCCACTTGGTTGAAGAAACGTGGACTGATCCTTAACGAGACCAAGACGCAGATACTCGCCATACCACACCATAGAGCTGCAGCCCTCGACATCAATGTTGTATGCAATTCACAAGTCCTACCAGTAGTCACATCTGCCAAATACCTTGGCCTGCATTTTGACTCGGACATGAGTTGGACCACAATGGTGGACCATGTTGCTCGTCGTGTTGCCGGCAAAATTGCTGTCCTGCTGCGACATGCTTCCTCGCTGCCGTATCCATGCCGACTCACCTACTTCAGATCTATCGTTTTGCCTGAATTTTTGTATGCTTCTATTAGTTACTACCCGTATTTGACAGTTGCCCAGGAACAACGGCTACATAGGCTGTTCAAACGTGCCGCTCGGGCAGTCTGCAAGTCGCCACCGTGGACCAGTACTGCTCCCCTGCTAAATCGAATGCATGTATGTGATCTACAGGTTTCTGTGCACTTGAATATGTTGTGTTTCATCTGGCGATGTTTGCATGATGCATGTAGCACCCTGTTTGAGTCCTTTTTTGCTGTCGTGCCCTCAACTCGCACTCGGGGAGGCCAAAGCAACTTGCTTGTGGTCCCACCTGCTAGCACTGCTCGTTCTGCTAAGCGCCTAACGCACGCTGGAGCCATTATGTGGAATAGATTGCCACCAGCAGCAAAATGTTCAAATAGGTATTTGGATTTTAAATCTCAAGCCTTGCAGTATATATTATCAGCGACATAGGTTTTCCAATGCTTACTGGATTGATATCTGTTCGTTGCAACCAACCTTCCGTCATTTTTTTCCTTTCTCTTTTTCTCTTGTATCTACTTTAACATGTTATTCACAGTGGGTCCAATGTTATTAGGCATTTTTGCCTGTTTTGATTTCCACTATAAATAAAGTATACAACATACAAACATTTGCAGCACTACTGCACCAAACAGCATATCTACTCGTTTCAGTTTTTCTTGGCTTTAGTTGAATGTTTTTTCACCCTGAAGATGGGCCATGCCCGAAAATTTGGTGCATTCCATTTATATCTCATATTTATTTTTATTTTTTGGAAGTGAAGTGAACGTATGCAGCGAAGAGACCGTAGTTGGAGAGTTTGAAGTGAGGTACCCTGTAATGTGTGAGTGGCTGCAAAGGAGTCTGCGAGTGCTTAGGAAAAATTCTTGATTTGGTTGAGAATTGACTAAGTTCCGCCTTTCGACTGCACACACACACGCACGCACACACACACACACACACACACACACACACACACACACACACACACACACACACACACCTTGACCTTGACCTTACCCATTGCGTAGCAATGATAGCGCATTGTTATTTCTCCAGTCCACGACAGAGTGACTGATGGCATTTCAGGTCGCCGCTTCGACGGAACATGCGGCCGCAGTCGCAACTGTAGCTAGCAGCAGCCTTGGGTGGTCGACGGGCAATGGTACGCCACTCTGGAAGGTTCTGGGCTGCATCGTACCCTCCACATGCTGGCACCTGTGGCTCAACCGACACAAAGTCATCCATAACGACGTCCCTCCATCTCTTGCGTGGACCATGCGCCGGCGGGCAAGGCAGTTCACCGAAGAGAACACACTTTGGCGCGCACACACACACACACACACACACACACACACACACACACACACACACACACACACACACACCTTTTGACCTTTTGACGCCCATCGCCGGAGGCGATGATAGCAATGCTACGGCA